ACAAAAATGTAACACAGAAATTAGATTTTTTAAAAAGTTTTAATGCTAAAATCTCTCATCTCTAAAAGATGTTTTGAGGAACACTCTATTCTTCCATTCCCCAAATGATGCCAGTAGGCAACAGATGGCTTATTATTAATTAATGAGAGAAATTTCTGCTATCTAAGCCCTTATTTCCCTTCTTCCTTGAAGTTTTGCAAACTACAGACTTAACAATCTGAGAAAATAAGATGAAAATAGTTAATATGTTTTATCTTTTTAAGGACCATTTTTAGTTGCTTTAAATAAATGCTGGCCTGGGCCCAGCAGATGGCATAGTGGTTAAGGCACTGGACTCCCACATAGTCAAAAATGGTTCGAGTCCCAGAGCCAGCAGACTGAAATTCACACTGGGCATGTGTGTATTCATGCTCAAAATCCCAAGAGAATGGATGAGGGATTGTTGTGTAGCTCTCCCCTAGGGACTGGTTTCTCACTAACTCTGTTCTCTCCAGTAAGTGCACATGCCCTACAGTAAACACTTTTGAAAACTAAAATAAATAAATAAATGCTGGCCCCATAAATCATACCCTATACTACTGAAAAAATCTAATGAAATAATCCTGACCTTGGGCAGTAAATTTTTGGGTCAAAATTATTTGTTCGAGGTGCCAGATAGAAAATATCTTCACAAGGACAAGAACGTGTCATGTTGTTCCCTGATATATCCACAGCTTTGAGCACAGTGCCTGGCATGCATTAATGGCTTGACAAATGTCCCTGACAAAATTCCAAAATCTTTTTTCTAAAAAAACATAGAAAAGGAAGAAATGATCACTAGGAGGCACCATCAATTCAGACAAGTCCACATCAGTTTCTTGCTATAAAGAGCAATGAAGTAGATATCAAAGAATTTGAACAAATTTCACATGAATAATTCTTGTAGATAGGATGAAGTATATGAACTCGAAATCTTGCAATTAAATGAATCTGTAGCCAGTTGAATGAGATCTGTTTAATGGATCCATATAAAGTAGGATGGAGACACGTTTGCTTTGTTAAAAAAAATTTAAGTTTTACAGAAAGCGGTTTTATCAAATGTGCACAACATAAGCAAAATAAAATTTAAAATGATTAAATGTTAATATATAAAATAAGGTAATAACTACGTAAGTTCAGAACGTATTCTTGATTCAGGGTAGACTGCCATAGAAAAGTTAAATTTTACTGTATATGTGGTTAACAGTATAAACTTGGATACCTTTCACGGTACCTGAATTATTCCTAATTTAAATACTCCAATCCTTTGTAGAGATGGTAGCCAGTTGGGAGGGATACTCTGAAGCTGACAAAACTCACATCTGTAACTTTTCTATATTTGCAGTGACTATACCTGTTCACTATTATGTCCTAGAAATCATCCATGTTTTAAATGCAATATACATTTATTTTTCACAACCCAGCAAGATAGATGTTATTATCCCTATTAAAGATAAGGATTCTGTGGGGTAATTAAGAAAATCATCCTGGCACATGACAAATGCTACTGGGTCTTTTTTTTTTTGAGGCCTTTGCCTTAGGAGTGCACATTATTTGCCAGACAGACACAGTGAGAGGGAAAGTGAGAAAACACTCCCTGGCCATGCTGCAATCCCTTTTCCTCCATTCTCCTCTTGGGATCTTGGGCACTCACCCATATGTACCATTAATCATGGTCGGCCATGTGGGAGTCCAGCACTGTAATTATTACATCTAGTGTCTTTCATTAAGTGTAATAGATGAGCTTTCCTTCCCTGTAAAGCAGCTATTCCTTTACACTGTTACAGATCTACTGAACCACAAGCAAGGAGAAGGCCCCCAAATGTTTAAAGCACCTCAGGTAATTATAACGATGGCTCCCAACACAGCACTGGGAGCTGCTTTAAGATCATCTAAATCTTTCTCAACTAGGTTTCTGATAGGTGCTTGATAAAAAGAGATTTGGAGAGGATACCTTCTGGAAACAGTTCTGTATGAGGAGGATAAAGACCTGGCTGAGTTAGAGCCCTTTTACTCACTAATGATACTTCCTGTAAAGAACCACCCCTTGCTGAGCCTCATTTCCCACCCCCACTTAAAACAATCACTGTTGTAAACACATAGCTTCAGCCCTGTCACATGACATGCTCCCAGTAAATGCTGCTGACTAATTTGGATGTTGAAGATCCAGAATATACTATACTGCCAGTTAAGAGCTGCATTATAAGTCTGGCTACTAGACAAGTAGATTCACATGTCATTAGGAAGGGACTGTTTACCTCCTCATCCACACTGTGAAAATGAGGTAACACATCTGAGAAAAATGTTGACAAGATTATTCTGTATTAAATATACTGCATTAAATACCATTAAAACATTTTTTATCATATTTACATCTCACATCTTTTTTTTTTTTTTT